TCAGGTTTTTTTGGGATACAACTAAAATATTCTCACAGATTTGGTAACATCTGTTAAATCCTTTGAATTTTATGTGCAACGCTTTTGTACCATTGAGTCCGTAACGGATTACGTGCATCTAATTATAGATAGCCAAAAAAGAGACATTTTTTTCTGTGAAAAAACCACAGTAAAAAGACCAAAAAACTAAAACAAACAGAAGACTAAATTTCTGTGCAATTAAACCTAGTTGAACGGCTTTTTTTTAAGTGAAAATGTTTCTATCTGTTCATTATCAGATAAAAAAATGATCAGAGAGAGAGAGAAAGAGAGAGAGACAAATGTTGGACGAAATAAAAATAGGTGCTTTCTGTACAAAGGAGACAGTTGACAAGTGTAATCAGATCGTTTGTTATCTAATAAATTTTATAATTCTGATAATATCTAGATATAGTGTAGAGGACCAGTCTAATTACTTAAATTAAACTGTGTAACATTACACAAAAAATACTTGAAGAATTACAGTTTTCCGATAGAACTTGTAGCTCACTTAATGCTCTGTTTTATGCATTGTCTATTACTTTGTTGAGAGTAGCAATTACGAAATAAATAAGTCGTTAATCCATGTATCAATTTTAGTATTTCGTTGTTTTATTTTTAGCAAGCGAAATAATATCAGATGTGTTATTTCACTTAGAAGAATAAACACTACTCTATGATCAACAAACAATAACTATGTCTTTGATTTTCTTTCTTTCTATATATACAAGTAATATTCTATAGGTAAATTAATTATTAATTCCTAATAGAAAAAAATCTGTTCGAGTTTTTTATGATTAAATGAGACCGGGTTAGACTTTTTCACTCTCATGTTTACAATCACTTTCTATTAAAACTTTTTGAAATATTTTTTTTGATAAAAAATTTTTAGAAAATTGTTTTTTGTTATTCACTAAATTTGCAAATTTTGACTACTTTTTATTAGATTATTAGCAATATATATCGAACGAACAAAACTAAAAGTCTAGTGTTGTGTCTTTCTCTGTGTGTGCTTATTATTGTTATTTTGTTTAAAAAGAAGAAGAAAAAAAAAAAAGACGAAAGTAAAAGATCGGTTAAATTAAACTTAGAGGAAAGAGGCTCTTGAGGTGAACGGGATCTATGCATGAGTGCTTATTATTAGCAGTTTTCTCATTTTATTTCAATACATATTACATTTAATAAAATGTTATCTTATGTAAGTAGTTTTTCTCTCTTTCAGATTTTTACTCACTATCACAAAGAAATTGTGTGTGTGTGCTCGGTGGAAAAAAGAAAAATGAATGAGTGTGTATAAGAAGTAAAAAGAAGAAGAAAAAATCTGGAACAAAATATGGTCTTCTTTTTTTATGTTGAAAATAGTTTTATGAATAGGAAAAAGGACGTCATGTTTCTATTCATTTAAAATTCTTTTCGTATAAAAAATACGAATTGAAATAACAAATTAAAGTTGAAAAGCCTCACTGTCATTTGTAATATGTATGTATGTAACAGCTTTCTGAAAAAAATGAAGAAAAAGAAATGACTTTTCTAATCTTGATGGAAGTTTAATTTAAAGCTATTTTTTTCAGTGAAGAATGGTTATTTTTTATTTGCGTACGTCTACTCTTATTTTCTAATATTTCTTCTAATTGAAAGAAAAGATTTAGAATTCTAGTTTCGTGTTGTTTGTACATTTAATATCGTTATGTTTGACTCATCATAATCATTAGATCTTTATGAAACATTCTGAAACTTAGACAATCGTCGTAAATCATTGGAATGTCGTATGAATTATATTTGACGTACATCTTTCACAGGCTACGTATAGGATAAAGAAAATTTTATCGTTGGAATAGTACACATACACAGAATCCCAAATAATGTTCTGCTAGCATAGCATAATATGCAAATAGAATTCTAAATAATTTTATTTAAAAATTTTTCACTGTAAAATGACAGAAAACAATAAGAAAACTTTTATACTTGTATTTCTAATAGTTTCCGATCTTTGCATCATATGCCTTTGATTTTTAATCCTCGATAAGGGAATATCTTTTTTTCAGGATATTCGTTTAATAGATGTCAATAAAATATACAGAATTATTTTAACTAGAAAACGTTGTTTAATGATACGAATAAATCTCTTTTTCTTGTTAAATTAAAAGTACATGAAAATTTTTATTTGTATGCTGCAAGCTCAGGTTAACTAATAGATATAGAAATAATAATAAATATAGGCTATAAATAAATAAAAGTTTTTCATAACTATTTCAGACTACAGTAGTAGTGAGTATAATTTTTGAATTAAAAGATATTTATAAATGTAAATATCTAGAATAGACATTGATACATATTGTTTGTCTTTTTTGAAAAGACTTTATTATCTCATTTTCTTCTCTTTTTAACTCAACTTTAGTAAAACTAGTTCCAGATGGTGTAAATCTAAAAGTTTAATCTAATCTTCTTTTATGTAGAATTTCATTTTCTATCCAATATATTATAGATAATATGTTTTAGAAGACTGGAGACTATCAGAAAATAGTGTCATTTTTCCAAAATACTGGGATTCATAAAAAAATAATACGCAACTAAGTGTAGCGTAATGTATGCCAATGTCTGTTCTTTATATTTCTATATAAATAGGTTTTTTAATTCAAAAATTTACTCACTGACAGTACGTTTTTTTCGAAAGAAAAAAAGAAAACTTTTTTTATTGTCTTTCCTTTGTAGAGGATTTCTTCTTCTGTCATGCTAATAGCAGAGTTCAAAGTTACTCAGATAATTGATTTCAAAAAAAGTGAAAAAAAAGGCTAAAATAACCTACATAATGCAAAAACATTGTTATAACATTATTGTGTCAAATGTACTGAGGGTTTAAATAGAAAAAACACAGATTTTTCACTGTTCATCGATTTTATCGGAGTATTTATGAGGGTTATTGGATCCAATGCGTTGATCTTTCTCATCTTATTTTTTCATCCAGTTTGGGAATGTTCCTGTCCCCATACGTTTCAGATGTGCATTAAATTAAATTAATTTATTTATGCTTCTAAAACATATTTTATAAATATTTTGTTGAGTGCAATTAGTGCTACCGTTATGATAAGCTTCAGAATCACGTTAATAAATTTTTTTTTTTCATAATTACGAACTATAATGAATAAAATTTTATTTCATAGAAGTTTCTTTAAAAAGAAAAGGAAAAACCAAGAAAAAAAACCTAATAATGAATAATTTTTCATTAGAAAGATGTTGACACTTGTTTTTTTTTTCTGCCTGCGTGTAACAAACAGATAATAATTATCATAAATGTCTAATTTCAAAGATATTTTTAACTCTAAAGCGATGATATGTAGAAATTCAGTTAAATTTTGTATTTGTATAACAGTAGTGTAAAGAAAAATTTTTAAAAATAAAAAATGTTATATATTGTTGTATCATATATTGTTGTATCATATATTGTTGTATCATATATAGTTGATTTTAGAGAATAAGGATCATCATTGAATTTTTTTTCGTTTTTTTTTTCTCCTCTATGACATATCCCTATTTCGATCTATAATACGATCGACTTTACTGTGCTCATATCATATGAAAATTAATATTAATAGAATATAACTCAAAAGCTTTATAGTGTATGTTGTCTAATATCGATGACCATATGTGTTTGACCTTTGTGTTTTTTTTTTTGTTTTTTTTTTTTTGTTGAAGTGTATATATACATATATATAAATGTATTTTTTTCGCGATTCCATAATGTGATTTTGATTGATAATTTCTTATTTCTTGGTTCGCATATAAGTTCTATGTTTCATGTCAACGACATAATAAATCAACACAACAAACAGCAAATATGAGAAAAATCAGTAAAATCCCAAAATGTCATCTGTTACACATTAGAAAAAAGCATAGATTTTATTTTTTTATTTTATTTTAGATTTTAAAAGAAAAAGAGAATATGTATCTTGAAAATATAATTATTGTTATTTATCAAAAAAAAGAATAAATAAAAGTGTTTATAATTTGATATTAAAAATTAAATAAGAAACTAAATTTACAATTATATTTGAACAAAACATTGGCAGCATCAAGAACAATAAAAGGTAAGCTATTTATGTATGAACAGATTGATAGTTAATAGAAGATATCTTATATACTAAAACAAATGTTAAAATATCGATAAGATTTAAACTCGATGAATTCTAAGTTCATAATGATATTTATTACTGATGATATACCGATGATAGCTACATAAAGAACTTAAGTAACTACACATAATAACTCCCTCTTAGTCATAGTGGAGCTAACAACTAAAAGTCAATAGACATCCTTTTTTTTTCTTTTGACTAGCGAAAGCATTTGAAAAAAATTTTTTTTCTCAATTTTTGTTTTTAGTTTTCTATCTTGATTATCTAAATCTAGTTAAAGTAATTTTGAGTAGAAAAAATGTATATAAAAAATTTTGTCAAATTTTCATCAACTAGATGTCTAATTTTGATTGAAAATTTTTTGTAAACAATTTAGTCAAATAAAAATAAAAATATTTCTATACAAAATGAGAACGTCTCAACATTTTCTACGACATTTTTCCATTAAACTACTATTGATTTCATGAAAAAATTATAAATTTAAATAAAAATTCGGTTAAAATTTTATCTAATGTTTTAATTGTCAGATATAATAAGAGAAAATAATCAAAATCTTATTGTTTTGTTTTATTCTCATTTCTTACATAGTCTAATAGCTTTAAAATGACATGTTTTTTATTCATTAAAAAAAATTATCATTGGCAACATGTTACACGATGAGTTAAGTTAAAACGTAGATTTTTAGTGTAGAAACATCATAAATATGTGATACCGTATACAATCAACGTAACAACGGTCTAATAAATTTTAATCCTTTACTAAGATTTTTACTAAAATTTAGGATTATTTTATAGTTTCTAAATGATAAAATAATTCTATTCGACATTATTTTTATTATCTTTATATTTAAGAATGGGACGAAAAAAAATTCAAATATCAAAAATAACTGATGAACGAAATCGTCAAGTAACATTTACCAAACGTAAATTTGGTCTAATGAAAAAGGCTTATGAATTAAGTGTATTATGTGATTGTGAAATAGCATTAATTATTTTTAATAGTAGTAATAAATTATTTCAATATGCATCAACCGATATGGATAAAATATTGCTTAAATATACCGAATATAATGAACCACATGAAAGTAGAACAAATAATGACATTGTACAAGTATGTAGACAATAGTAAAAAAAAAGAAATGACTAAAATGAATTGTTAATATTTTCTTCTTTTTTTTTCATCCTCTTCTTCTTCTTACATTTAGATTCTCAATAAAAAAGAATCAAAACATTTAGATAATAATGATAGTGACAACGATATGGAAAGTGGAAATGAATGTGAAGAAAAATTAGATGATAGTACTAATCATAGCAATAGTAACAATAAACGTCCTAATGCTCAAGTAAATATTATAGAATTTAAAATCTTTATAAAAAAAAAATTTTTTTTATGAAATAAATTTTTTATTTTATTAGAATCATATGTCAAACCAAGGATCTTATTCTTCTTCGTCAATGAATGGTATTCAAAATAATCATAATTCATATCTTTCTGGTATGAAAAAATTTTTGTTATTTGAATTTAAATGATTAGATTAAGTTGTTTTTTTTTAATTTTATATTTCAGTTGTTGGTAGTGCAGGTATTGATGTTAGTTCTAGTCCATCTCCTCAATCAACATATTCTCCGCAAAGTTCTCCGAGTGAATCTCGTACAAGTCCAAGTGTACATAAATCATCTATTAACACATCAAATGACAATCGAACAACCATTCCAAATTCTGTGAAAAATTCTAATCAATACACTGTATGTTAATTTATTATATACAAATGAATTTTAATTAAGATAATCTAGTATCATTGTGTCTGTTCATACAAATGAATTTTTGAAAAAATTCTGTTTTCATTTATCTTAATTCGTTTAAAAAAATTAAAAATTTTTGAAGACAGAGAACTCACTTCATTTTAGTTTATTCAATATTTAGTATTTTTTGATTCTTCATTTTTCTTTGAAGATATGTTTAACATTCTATTTGTGAAATTTACGAGATTATCTTGACTAATTAAATTTTCATCATTCATTATTTTATAGGATTTATTTTTATTTATTTTAGACGATGAATATGCCACACGGTGATTCTAGACTTAATCGTCTACCTGGTAATTATATAATATTCTATCAATTTTTTATCAGATCATATAAATAATTTTAATTATTTTTACTTTTTTTAGGTGATTTTTCATTGACCGGTGCTGATTTGAATTCATTATCAAACTCAAATAATTTTCTTCCATGGCATGCATCATCTCATTCATCATCATTATCAGCCGCATTACAAATGAATCCATTGGGGTAATTAAAAAAATGACATTCAATATATTTTCAAGTTTTTATATTTTACTCAAAAAAAAACAAAAAAACAAAAAAATAAAAGAATAATTTTTTCTTTGAAAAATATACCACCATTACCGAGATTTTTTGACGGATGAACGTTGATGTTTTGAATATTTCAGTGTAATATTGGTTCCATTAAGATAAAAGCTACTCTATAGAATAGACAGAATTGTTATAAAAACTATCATAGAAAATATTTTTCAAAAAAAAAAATGATTTTATATATTAATTTTTATTTTTATTTTTAATTTAGACTAATGAATTATGACATGCATCCTCCCTCAAGTCTGTTATGCGGTCCATCTTTAACAGTTAACAGTGGTACAAATTCAAATCGTACTAATCTCTATAGTCTGTCTCAACGGGGACAGCATCGTATGAAAAATGAACCATATTCTCCTCCTATTCCACGAAATCTTAATCATACAAATAACAATAACAATAACAATAACAATACGAATAACACATCTTCGAATGACAACAATTCATTAAATCTTAATAGTTCAGATTATTCTCTTGAACCAAATATGAAACATCCAAGATTGCAACAGCAACAACAACAACAACAACAACAGCAGCAACAACAACAAACATGTCCTTGGCCAAATACAACATGAAATTTAAGTATATTATGATTGGTCGCGGTCAGATTTGTTTATATTTGCATTTCCCTTCCCAAACACGTTGTCCATGTCATCAAAAGTATATTTAACAAGTACGTCCGCTATTAAACTCCTCCTCGTCTCGACGAATTTATTTATTGCTCAATATATTGTTGTTGTTGTTGTTGCTGTTGTTACTATTATTATTATTATTGTTGTTGTTTATTTTTTGGACAAAACTTGATACATATATATTCTCATTTTCATCTCTAATCTACACTCGAATTGTATCAAATAACAACTGCGTTAGACGCATTTTAAGTGTAACTACTCGCATATTTCTTTATTTTGTTCTCAGGTTTAAAGTGTGCGTCTATCTATGAAGTTGAATAAAGTGATTTAATTCTTACTCTCCATCTGTTAGGTCAGCTGCACATTGCTGGCTGATTTTCTTTTTAATAAATGATTAATGTTTCGTAGAGTATTAGTTGTTTTCCTCTCTTTCTCTTTTCATTTCATTCTTACAGTGAGATACCGTGGTAAAGAAGAAAAATGCATGTTCTCTTTGTTTTAATCAATCAAACTTCTCCGTTGTTTATATGGTTTTATTTTTATTTTCTTTGTCATTATTATTTTTATTTTTATTATTTTGTTTTTTGAGTTATTTAGAAAAAGACTATCCTTCTCATTTTGGTGTTTTTACATAATGTGCGTAAATATCTATATATCTATATTTTTTATTTTATTCGTTTTTGTGTTTTTGATACTCCCTCACTGCGTATATTTTCGTTGTGACGAGTATGACAGATTTTGGCCTCGTTTCAACTTTTTTGTCTTATATTTATTGTAGATAGGACACATTCTCTCTCGATGTATATTATTATTCTAACTATGACATTAATACAGAAAAAAAGAAATGCTTTTACTTAAACCCACTACAAATCTTTCTTTCTTAACTTTTTACCCTCCGTGAGCTTTTGTTTAGAGCTTTCTGGAAGCTAATCATTGAAATGAAAGTTAGGGGCACTCAGTATAAATATACCACATTTAAAATTCAATTTTTTAAATTCATTCAAAAATTTGAATTTTCAGCTTTTAAAATTTATTATAAACCATATACAAGATCTTTTTTTGTAAAATTTTTTCTACAAGTTGAAGCTATAGTTCTACTAAATCGTATCCATCCGATTCGATTTGTGTCAGAAGCATAATACGGTGAGTTGATAAACAAAAGCAAACACGTCTGGAAAAACAGTGTAAAACTCCAGCAAAAATGATGGTTTCGTTTTGGGTCATCGGCAGTCCACTGTTGTGAGTAGAGGGTTGTTCCAGTGATATCATATAAAACAGAACATCTTAATACATCTTTCTTCATCAATACATTATACAAAATAAAAGTCTGCTTTGGTGAAAAAATTGAACAAGCGAAAATGTTTTTTTAGAAAAATTACTAATTTAAAATGTTAAGTATCTCAGAGAGCAACGTACAAAATAAATTTTTTTTTATCAATCAACAGCTTATGAAGTTCTCTACAAACGACAAGCAATTAGTTTTCTGATCGTATGTTTCATTACTTTTTTATACTGATTTTACCAGTGTGCACGCCTAGGAAACCTTTTTCCCGACACTTTATAATCAAAACAACTAAAAAATGCGTTGTCGGCGCTACACCCAGCTGAATCCTTATGTTGACTGTGGAATAACCCATTTATACTTGTGATATTTACATTTATACTTGTGGTATTATGCATGGGTTGATAGATCTTGACGAGCTAAATTCGATGATACTACTCCTAAAACTTTATCACGTAGATTTTCCATTGGAAGTGCCGAAAACGAAGAATTTTAGCTGAAGGTAACTCTTGGGAATCGTTACTCATATTTATTAAACTAATACTTTTGGGCTTTATAGTTGAATAGAGCACATTCAGGTGAATCGAATGGTGTGTCATAAGTTGAATTTCGGTTCTACTATCATTGACAACAAACATGTCGAAATCTCACCGGACATTTTCGTGTATTTTTCAAATTTCTCTTCGATGATGCAATATTTTCAGTTTCATTTTTTACCAAGTATCAAACTTCATGAGATCTAAAAATGATTAAAAGTTGATCTTGATTGTAATATTATTTATCGAGATATCGAAAAAACAAAACCGAAAATCTCACCGAACATTTTGTAGGTGAAGTCTCGATTTCCAACAATATAACAAAATTTTGAGTACAAAGAAAGTACTTTTCAAATTATATTTTCTTATCATATTGTTACACACTCGAAGCTGTATCGATTCTACTCATTAACAACCAAGAGTTATATCTCGTAAACTGTAGGAGACAAAAGGTTGGCTTCGAGCACAGTAGTAGACCTAGTGTAGATAAACAAAACAACAAAAAAGATTTTAAAATTGCTTCACAGCAAAAAAAGAAAGAAATGGACTCAAAGTAGACCGAGCTTACAAATTGGATCCTGATAGGGACTATTTTCCATACGACTTCTTCAAGGAGAAAGACAGTGCAGTTTTTGCCTTCTGCCTTCAAAGTCTACAAAACGAAACCTATGGAAATGAGACGTCAGCGGTTTGTGGGTTATGCATAGCTGTGTGGAACTACGCGGTGGTTTCCTTCAGTCATCGATACAATTTTTCAGTTCTGAAATACAATTTATAGCATGATGCATCCAAAAATGAGTGAAAATTGAAAATAATTTCACATAAGTTTTATTCTTCCAGGAGACAAGCGGAAAACTTTCCTGTCAGGTTACATAAAAGTATATGAAACGTACTTCGACTATAACGATCATTCCCTATGCAAAATGTGGTTGTTGAGTCAATGTTGTCTGTGTTTGTGATTTAGCCGATTTAAGAAATGATTTAGGAAGAAAAAGAAAAGTTCAATTATTTTGTTGAAATCACTGATTATAGTTGAGCATACATTGAGATCAGTATATGCAGCACGAGCGCAGCATCTCAACGATCATCCGTCTATAGAATACAAATAATACTAGGCTTTTATTAGTATTTTATCAAAACATGTTTAACTATTTCATCGTTGTTCTCTTCATCAGACTCGAAACTACCACACTAGCATTCGAATAAGCCATACTCGCAGGACTCCAGTTCAGATAATGCTTCTTTCATCATGTGGTAGCAATATCAATTCTATTAGAGCATTGTGTAACTAAAATACGCCACCATGCGTGTCATGTTGCACTGCCACTGGTGCCGATATATATTTCCTCTGAAGAAGTGCTACATTGACTTTTTTCAGTGCCTCGCTGGAATTTATTTAATCAGTAATTAGTTTTTTCTTATTGTTACTTTTGATAAAATTTTGTATTAATTAGAGTGCGGCACTGACTGATACCACTACCGCATTGCCATGTCAAAACCATATGGCATTGTATCGGCACTTCTCATATGAGAAGAAAGATGAAATTAGAAAGATATTCGAAATGTATACGAAAAATATACTGTGATGTTTATTTAGACAGAAATTGACAAAACACAATGGTGATTGAAAATCAAACTTTGGCACTGAGACGCATCGATGCGAAGCGAAATTTTTGGATGGCACTGGTGCGTACCCGTGCTGGTAAAATATTTTTGTAGGGCAAAAGAAAAACATTCGACAGCGTTTCTCATTTTTAGAACTACTCGAACAAAAGGCTAAATACACTCTATTCCAGTCAGGAAAGAGTTTATAAAACTTGCTAGTGTGACAAATTGGCATGGCATGATGTGAGGTTGTTTTCCGCTAGCGATCAATTGACGGCTATTTTTGACGACTAGCGGGAAACAACTGTGATATGATATGATACAGATAAGATTCTTTCGATGTTAGTGCAGGTATTTGATTGGTTGAAAGTATCCATTGACGCTAATACAGTGTTTTCTCTCCACTTAGCCTCAGAATATTGTAGCACCATGTGTTTTAAGCAAAACTCTGCCTCCATTGAACTCTCATAAAATTCTATCTTTATCCATCCATTTGGGTCAACCAGGCTAACCCTCTTATTCGGGGAACCTAGGCATAAACGCTGGGAGCAAATCGCCATACTCAACGCCAAACACCAGGAGAATGACGTTGATTGTAGAAATTTGCTCGCACCGTTTGCTCCTAGCTTCCCCTAGCGGCTCTCTTGTCTAGTATACTCTATTTGGTCAAGGTCAACTACCTTGAAACCGTAGTTAAGATACGCCAGGCGTATACAAGTTAGGCGCAAAACGCTAGTGTCAACGTGAAATCACGTTGTCCTTAACGCTGTACGCCCAATGCTTTCGCCTAGCGTATCCAAACCTGAAATCGTCACCAGTGAAAATATCGCCATTGAGGTATATTTTCTACCTTTGCCTTTCTTTTACGGGTACCGACTGCAATAAAAGGACGACTTAAGTGAAAGACGTACTATTCCAAGCACTACGTTCTGTATTAAACTCTAACTATGCTCACTTTAATTAAAATAATTCGATTGGATGTCTGCATTATACCGAGTTAAACAGACGCAGAAATCAAAAAAATTTCAGAAAAAAATGCGTTGTAAGAAGTTACCTGCCAATAACAGCTGCCAATAGCAGGTAACTTCAACAGTTGCTGCCAGCAGAAAAAATGTACAGAGGTCAAATATGGCCGACCAAATAATGAAAATTTCTCAATGTTGGGTGCTTGTTTCTAGTAATAAACCACCTCGTAACTCAAGCGTCAACTAAGTCTTTTAGTAAAAATAGATTTTAGGAGGAAATAAGAAGAAAAAACTTGAAAAAGAATTAGGCCAGGCATATATAGGCGGCATCTCGTCGAAGAAACTGATTGATCAATTTACTCAATACGAATCACTTTTTTTTGCTTTCCTTTGAAAATCAGCAGTCATTTTTGGCAGGTATTATTGGCAGGTAACTTGTTTCAACGAAAAAAATGAAAACATTTTTGAAAACATTTTTGATTTCACTTGTCTGATATTCCAGAAACGAGTAGTTATTCATAATTTCAGTACGCATAGATCGTGAGAAAGTTCATC